TGGCTGGCTGGCTGGCTGGCTGGCTGGCTGGCTGGCTGGCTGGCTGGCTGGCTGGCTTTTTTTCTCTCTCTCTCTCTCTCCTTTCTTCCTCCCTCCTTCCCTCCCTGACAGCAGGAATGCCTCTTATAAGACGGCCCCTGGAGCAGATCTGTGCATAATTAAAAGATGAGAAAGCACCCTTTTTCTGCAGGGGGAAGATCTAGACATACCTGTACAGCATAGATTTGCAGGTTTAATTGATTAGAATGCATACAGTAATTGGGTTATTTTAAGAAGTGCCAACCTTTTACCCTCCTTTTTAACAAATTGTATTAAATGCAAAATAGATTTAGTAGAGAATTGATGCTTTCTAATCTGTAGAAATACAGTATCTGATAATAGTGCAAAGAACTTGAGAGACAACAGAAGCTTGTATCACAAAGTAAAAGGGGAAAAAAAGCTTTAGTCCAGTTCTGTTCTGCTTTATACACCGAATCAGGCTAATTTAATGTTATTAAATATCCTTCTGTAAGGAAAAATCTGTAAAATTCTTTCTTAATATACTATTTTTGCCTTCTCTCAATATTGTTCTCATGAAGGCTATTCTGTACAAAATCAATGCAGCCTTAAACCACAACAGCACTATCTAAACAGAATGGAAAATTCCAAAATTCCTATACATTTCCATATTAATATTTTCCAGTGTTTATTTTAATCACTGGTGTAAAAAGTTGTTTGGATTTTCTGCCATGCGCTACAAGTCCTGCAGGAGCTTGAGGACTTCGTGAGTCCACCTCTCTCTTCTCGGCTGACTCTGGGCCGGCGGCAGAACAGAGGCTTCACCCGCATTGGCTCCGAGGTGCTGGGTGGGCCCTGTTATACCTGAGGCCCTGCTGCTGTCTGTTGATGCCAAAATTGCGGGTTGAGTTGGTCTGGGTCTCAGAATATAAATGTATTCTTTTGACCCCCGTTCCTCCTCTCTTTACTCGCCATGTCAAGTTAAAGTATGCTAAGCTCACTTGGGATTTGGTAGCTGACTGCCCTACCATACTTGACTAGGTTTAACATGGGATGTTGGTGGTTTAGGCTGCCGTGGGAACCAGACCATCACATTAAGCCCTAATATAGCTGGCTTATTTTCATTGGCCAAAATGTGTCGTCTTAACCCAGGTTTAGCATGTGGTGTGAATCCAGCCACTCTTCCCCTCCAGAGTATTCAGTGAAGGGCAGTCAGGGGCTGGAGGGCAGCCTGAACCCAACTCAGCTAGGTATGTCCAGGAACTTGGGCATCATACTTCTTTTTCAGCATCACCAGTTTGTCAGTCTGGGAGACAAGGACGGTTGCACCAAAAGCAGCAGCTGATTCTATTTTTATTTCATATATAGAGTAAATAAATTTACCGAAGGTAGACTTAACTATCCTGTATTAAGAGTGTGTACTCACTCCCCTCCCCTCCCCTCCCCTCCGCATTAAGCTGCCATCCAAGAACTACTTGGCACAGGAGTAAGTTAACTATGGCAGCTGAGTTGAGGCCAGGCCCGGTTTCAGTGCTTTCTTGATGGGCCAGCTTTTCCTCTTCTCTCTGCAGGCTGAAGCGTTGGTCCAGTACCTTGAAGACCCCCTCACCCAGGTGGCTGCTTCCTGAAGAGGTGGAGCCCAGGGGCGAGGACAGAACGTGATGCCCTGCAGGTCCTGCCTCCCAGCAGACTGTGAGGGGCGCTCAGCGCCTTGTGCTTCTTTCAGATGTGAGAATAATGGTGGGAAGAGAATAAAGGATGTTTTGAGCAGCTTGGCTTTGTCTGTCTGAGGATGGATGGAAGGGGCTGGGAATGGCTTCGAGGCCTGGCATATTGCCCAGAGCTGTCTTCAGGGGGAAGGGGTGCAGTTAGCGGTAACTTGAGCCATCATGTCGTAACGAGAAGAGTGGAAACTAGCATGGCAGGAGAACTATCGCATCCATCAGGCAGAGGTAAAGCCGGCGTGCGGGGAATCATCTAAATGCATTTACCTGGGAGTATATCCCAGGGAAGGGAAGGAGTCACTGTTTAGCATGGGTTCCTAAGCTGGAAGTCAGTACTGCAGGCCCCCACTTGGTGTCACCAAAGACTCAAGAAGACAATTCCATTCCTTAATGTTCTGCTTTGATTTCAGCACCCAGATCTGCTCAGCCTTGTCCCTTCTGGTGCTGGTGCAATATTTCAGGGTCAAACGACTCGTTGCCAAGTGAGGGGCTCGTGCTGTGCCTGGGGGAAGAGCAGAAGGTAGTCTTCAAATTTGGGGGAGTGGGAGGGATCCTGTTGGCCTTGTATTTGTAAATTGAACCGTTTCTTTCAACCAACCTGAGTTGAGATCCCACCGAGGAATAAGTGAATTCTTCCATCCTGCTTTCTCTCTGAGTTTTCCTGCAAACCTCTTGAACTACAAATGGTCCCTCCCTGGGTGGGGTGTCAGGTTGGCTTCTGTCTACTGTAGGGAGGGAGCGCAGTGAGTTTCAGGAAGCTTTAGGGTGCCAAGACTTTTAGAAGCTGCACCTGCCACTCCTTTCTCTTTTTATGTCTCTTATGTCAATCTGCAGGGGGTGAGGCAGCCATGACTCACCTCATCAAGGCCCTTCATATCTCTCTGAAGCCTCGCCTACCAGTTCTAGTAGTTGGGAAAGGCTTCTGTGTCTCCAAAACTCTCTTCTGGGGCTTCCGGCTGACCTCTGCACATGCACAGAAACCTCTTCCAGTTACTGAAACTACTAGAGAAGTTACAAAGCAAAGCACTTACAGCATCATGGAGCCTCGAGCAGTGTTTCTCAACCTTGGCAACTCTAAGATTGTGGACTTCAACTCCCAGAATTCCCCAGCCAGGGGAATGGCTGGCTGGG